GGCACATGGCTTACAGCATCCTTGGGAAGCATCCAGAGAAACCCTCTAAGGACATGACCTTCTCAAGATGAGGCTCAGCAAAGACAAAGTTGGGTAGTAACAAAAGGCTGAACTATGATAAATCTTAGCACTTACACAGTGTTTGTTTTCAAGCTGCTATTTGAACCCACACTTCTTTAGCATTTCTGACCTGAGCTTTCTTAAGTAGAATAGGAGGCATTTTAACCCATCGCTCACTTAGCAAAATAAATAATGTTAAATGTGACTGCATGGGAACGTCTTATCCATGTAATTCTAGGAGCATTTGTCTTTCAAAGCCCAACTACTTGTTTCAAGTTTCTTGCCCTTCTGGGATCCAAGCTGATCTCCACTCAGCTTGTATGGAAGTGAGCACACTATTTCTGCCAACGATCAAGGAATATAGTCTGGTGTGGTAGTACATACATGTAACCCAACAATGAAGAGACTGAGGCTGAGGCTAGAGAATCTTGAGTTTGAGGCCTTGGGCAAAGAATGAATGAAAAAGACAAAAAGCCAAACACTAAGTAGTGGCTTTGTAGGTCACAAGTCTCTGACACATACCCAATAACTCATTCTAGCACCAAACATCCACACGAAGATGAGAATGGTTGTAATTCAGCAAAATGCCATTTAAGAAAAATAGTCAATAAGCCAGAGGTGGCCCATAAAACCTCTTTGGCCAATCCCTAGTTTAAGCATGGGAGAAGAGGCAATGAGGTCACGCAGAAGATACAGAGAAGGAAGCCAATATGCTATGTAGCTCCCATATCACCTCAGGCCTGAGCCAGAAAAATACAACAAAGTTGGTGGCTATGGAAGTGCTCAGGTATAATCTCAATGCATGGAACACTGAAGAAAGGGGAGCTCAAATCCAGCCCATCTTATTAATACACAGTGAGAGTCTGTCTGAAAAACAATGGTTAGGTGAATCCATCTGCCCACTTCCATTCTTCAGATTATTTATAATCTGTTTTTTGTTTTTGTTTTTCGAAGACAGGGTATCCTCTGTGTAGCCTTGGCTGTCCTGGACTTGCTTTGCAGACGAGGCTAGCTCGAACTCACAACAAACTTTGCCTCCCTGAATTTTAAGATTAAAGGCGTGCATCACCATGCCAAATCAGTATTTGAGTCTGTTGATAAAGAATAAGATTATCAATACCCCTGTGACTTTTGTCAATAAAAGGCAAGGGGAACAATTCCACTTCCCTATAAATGGCATGAATTCCAACTGTCCTTTCATACAGTGTCTGCCTAGACACCAGGTGCTGGATGAGCCAGGCTCTCAGTAGAGCCTGAACTGGAGTCTCACCCACACACGCTGTATACTAAACCAACTCCATTTCTCTCTAGGCACACAGCTAACTCCAGATCCTTACGGGCTGACAGTAAGAATGGGACCTGCCTGAACTCTGCAGACTCACGATTCTAGTCCTGGCACAGGACACCACACTGTGATGGATGGTCCCCACCTCTCCCTGTGGGAAAGAAAACTACAAGGCAGAAGAAGCCTGGCTCTGGAGAAATTGTGAGGCTAAGACACCCAATAGAACATCCATTTACTCCATTCCCCTCTTTCAGAAAACCCTGTGCAAAGCCACTGAGATCCGGACTTACTGCAGTTGATGCCAGCCTACCTGCCACACAGACACCACAACTATTTGCTTACTTCATAAATCTCAAATATTAGTGCAAAATCAGCTTTTTAAATCAACAGTAGGGACTTAACCTGGGACCTTGCACACTAGACAAGTCCCCTTAGCAATGAAGTACATCTTCGCCCGCTTATTTAAAAACAGGGCCTCATTAAGTTGCCCAGGCTGCCACAACCTCCTGAGAGCTGGGCTAACAAATATATGTTGACACACTTGCTTATTCTCTTAAATTTTAAACAATGTTTACATAAAAATGTACATATCAACCTTCTTGGATCCATTTTCAGTCTATTAGGAAGATCTCCACAGTTCACACTGGGCAGACAACAGGCAGAATAAAAGGAATGTTTCTGAAGCCTGTTTTGCTGTCATGTGTATGTTCTAATGTGGACTGCCTAGCAAGAACCACTAAGAGACTAAGAAGATGAATGACAAGAGACTAAGGTAAGAAGATGAATGACACAGGAGGGACGTGAGTGAGCTTCAGAGAGCAGTGCATACTTCTTCAGGAGATGAGCCTGTTTCACAGAACACTGAGTTTGGAAAACACTATTTCTCTCTAGCAGTGGGAAAGGCTGCAGGGAGAAAGCCAGTCTCCAGAAAGAACACTGATGGAGTGAACACCAGGGAGGAACCTTGTCTGCTGCAGCAGCCCAGCATGCAGCCTGATGAGGCTGCAGGAGCGACTCCAAGATGCAAAATGACATCTATTTTGTGGTTTCCAATGTGGTTTTTCCTCAGGCAGATGTTACATACATAAAAACTAAAACTTTAACTCCTAAAAATTATGTCTTAGTGACAGAGGATGGAGGAACATAAAGGAAATTCTCCAGGTCTACTGACATGTTTAATTGTTAGAGGACACTGACACAGTTCCCAGGCTCTTGCAATCACAGGAATGCCAGCTCATATACCAGCTTCTTGGCAATATCTTATGTTTTAAATTGACTCAGTAGTTTCAAAACCAGGTGTCACAAGAGTCTAGGAGATCTCTAAGTATGTTTTACTTAACATACTGGAAAAATAATTCACAAATACATGATCTAAAGCTTCAAAAGCCCTGGTCTGAATGCTACTTGATCCAGCTGGGATGACACTAAGGAATTCTAGACGCCACCCTGGCAAAAACGCTCTCATACTCCACCCACGCTAACACTTCTGTCTGGGCCCTAGGACCGGCACCTTTTGATTCAGTCCACTTACAGCCCACTGTTTGCACCCTAACTGGAGCCACCCATTAAGCACAAATGTTCTCATTTACCAGAAGGGTGACTTGTGACACAGACACTTCCAGGGATGCATGTTCTGTCTGCACACGTGAAGCCTCATAAGCACAAAGAAAAAATTCTAAAGTTAAAAAAAATCTATTCTTATAGATTTGTAACCATAGACTATAATATAATACAGCCCTGATTTTTGACAAAGCTGCTGTTAATGTTAAAGTAGAACAAAATAAAGCTGAAATCTATTGAAGGCCGTCTTCCCTATTAAAGCCCACAGCAGCCCAAGACATTAAAGACTTACGGGTACTTTTTTTTTTCATAATTTTAAAATATTATTTTCTAACGAGTTCTACTTCCTTGCTTTTCACTGACTATAAAATTACCTAGTTTAGTCAATTTCTAAGTTATCTTGAAGAGTTGTTTTCAATAATCTCCCACAAAAAAAAAAATAAAAAAAATGTTCAGAAAGGGGCACACTCCTATTTATTCCTGTATTAAGATCTGATGAAATAGAGACTACATGAAAAAGTATCAGCATGTCAGAACAGCACATCAATACTGTGACCTCCTCACTGAACTAGTGATACCACAAAATAAAAATCTGTTAATCTGAAGTATAGTCTATAGATAAAATTGAATGAATTTTTTTTTCCTAAAATTTTTCCTAAAATCACAGCAAATCCCCATCTAAATAATAAAAGAAAACAAAAACTAAGCACTTCCCTCTGGAAATTTCAGGTGTATGTTTTCTTAACACGGCATAAAAGAAATATATACGAGGGTAGGCCTTATGAAGGTGAGAGAGAGGTCCAAGATCAAGGCCTACCCAAGTGCCTGTTAATATTCCATCTTTTGTTTGTATTGGAACAGAACAAAAAGCACTAATTTTAAAGAAAAAAATACACCACAACATATTAAAAAAGACAGAGGTCATCTCTCCCTTACCAAGAACTCCTGGGACCCAAACTGCTTCAGAGTTTGGTTAGGGGGGGATTTTGGAATATCTGCATTGGCTTTACATGCAAAAAGCCAAAATATGAAATGTTCCAAATCTGAAACTTAGCATTCCGTCCGTGATGAAAGCATTAATACTGATACCATATCTCTACACAAAAGTGGATTAGGTTTCAAATCAAGGATGCTCAGCCTATTTGGTGCCTAGCTTTGTACTATGTGCTTTATGTGTTATTTACCCTCACTAAGTCCTATAAATTGCATGTTATTTTCTTTGCCTTAATGATGTAGATGCTGAGGTCTTCAGAGGTCACAGTACTACACAGCCAGGATTTCCACTCAAGTCTATATATTACCCATTACAGCAGAGGAAAAGCTTCCATTATGTGGCAAACACTCTTCCTCTACTGCCGTCTTCCACAATTACTTAAATTTTCAAGGTCATCTCTGCTTGAGATCCCTTAAGCAGGTCCAGCCTCGCTCACTCCTGCCGAAGCACTGACTTGAAGATGCTATGGAGTAAGCAGCAGTACACAGAAGAACCAGGGCTTCAGACTCCAACCTTCATCAGCTGATTATGCCTACAGCTACTTGTCGACCCAGGGCTCTGGTGAGTGTAGGTCACTGGACTACAGAAGACGTTCCCGACCAGAAGCTATTTCTGATGAGCCTTTTAATGAGGACAGCCAGCTCTACTACGGCAACACGAATGCTTCAGCCAGCATTTGCTAAAGAGCAGCCTGCTGACTGCTCCCGGCTCCCTAGCTGGCTCCAGACAGCCCATGACCTAGTCCCTGGGATGCACCTACAAACACAGTTCTGCTTTGAAGTCATGCCCATGGCCTATTCACTCTCAGTGGGTCTATAAAAAGCCATGCTGTTTTCTCCAAGTGCTAGGGTAGCTTTCTGGCTCCTGTAGGTAGGAGCAAACTAGGGTAGAGAGGCAGACACCTTTCTCTTTCTAAGGTAAAGCGTTCAATTCCAAGGATACATGCAAGCTACAACATTTACATCAATGATGAATTCTTAAAAAAAAAAAAAGAGGTTAAAAAATAAAAAATATAAAACATTCATGCATCTAAAAGGAGTATTTATTACTTTCAAGTACAAGGTTCCCCAAACAGCACACTCTCCTCTTTGGTGGGCTTACCTTGAAGATGACATTATAGTCGAAGCCCTGAATTTTGCTGTAAACGGATTGGTTGACTCATAATCAAAATAGTCCTGCCGATTTTCACTAAAAGCACTAGGTGATTTCAAGTCACACGGGCTCTCAGAGCCCCCGCTGCTGAGCTTGTCAGATCTTCTGCTCTCTTTCTTCCCTGTCACTCTCTCAAAGAGGCTTACTTTCTCCCGCTTCTCTCTCTTATTTTCTTTCCTTACTTCAATTGGTTTTGAAAATAAATTTGTAGTGCTGTCCCACGACTCACTGCTTTCTTCAAATGGATTCTTCTTCCTTGGCAGTGTTGCAAACTTTTGGGGTAATGAAGCAGTCACATTTGTAAATGGGTCACTCTGTCTTCCAAAAGAATGTTCACCTTCATCCACAGTGCCGCCAGGTTGGTTCAATTTAGAAGTATCAAAGCTTAGTGTTCGTCTGTGTGGAGACTTGAGGGTTCCTACAAACATTGTTTTTCCATTAGTAGGTGATGGGTGACGTGTGCTATTACACTATCTGACACATTCTGCTGCTTCAGAATGAGAGCAGTTAACTACAGACATTAACCCTCAAAACAATCTTAAAATTAGGTAAGGGATAGCATTAAGTAAATGGGCTAATTGTATCATTAGACAATTACTATCTTACTTGGCTCAGAAATCATCAGATGAGAAAAGTATAAAGTCAATCCAAAGGGCCTACAATCATGATCATGCTGAAGTCTTAAAACTTTTCCATCATTAGAATCTAATTTACTTTGCCCTGAATATAGATATTTTTCTAGTAATACTTTGATGGAATGGAATATATGCTGCAGGCTTATTTTCTTTTTCTTTTTGGTGTGTACATGGATACTGATGGAGGCCAGAGGTCAACCACCACTGTCATTCCTCAGGGACGACCCATCTTGTTTTTTGAGACAGGATCTCTGACTAGTGTGGAATTGGCCAAGTAGTCTTGGTTGGCTGGCCAGGGAGCTCCAGGGATGCACCTGTCTCTAACTCCTCAGCATGGGATGACAAGCCTGCACCAGCTCCTGTTTGGCTTTCTAAATGTGGGTTTAGGTATCGAAACTCAGGTCCTCACACTTTTAAGGCAGGTACTTTACCAACCCATCCTGCTGGTAAGCTTTTGAAACAAAGAAATGAAAGCCAAGAAGAGGCCAGGCCATGAAAAAAGACTAGGATCACCGCATGATACTGTAATACAAATACAGTACAAGCAAGCTTGCCTCCAGGGAATGTACCACTTGGGGCTTAGAAGTATTCAAACAATATTAGTAAATGACTGACTTTAGAAAACACTACTTTTTGTTTTCTAACTTTAGAAGTTATACTACATAACACACGAGGGAAGAGACAAGGAAATGAGGTGCCACTTACCAATTTCTGGAACAACTCCAAAGGGCTCTATCTGGCGACTGAGAAGATGTGTTGGACCTACAGTGCTAGACTTCAGTTTTTCGGAAGATAAGTGGGAGCCAGTTAAATCAGACATTGAATGGGCAGAAGAGAGCCGCTGAGGACCCAGAAGAAAAGGCTTTTTTGGTTTGGATTTCATCTGCATTTCGCCGCTTGAAAATTCAGTATTGGCATCGGGAATGTGAGTGCTTGGAATGATTGCAGAAGATGTGTCAGAAAATGTCCCATCATTTTTTCTCCCTTTCATCTTATCTTTCAATTTTGCAAAAGGCGATCTTGTCTTATCCTTCATTGACAAGTCAAACATACTTGCTGTCATATTGTTTCTCATAAATTGAATATTGACCTTTATTTCACCCCTGTTTTTTATTCTTTTTCCTTGTTTGGATTCTAATCTAAACCACCTTAAAGAGAAGAAAGAGAGCTGATTGTAACATATAATGATGGCAGCAGCAGCTCTATTACACGCAGGCAGCGCTAGGTAAAGTGAACACACATCTATCTACACACTGAAGGAGAACCAGTCAACCACAAGTTTCTAGTTTTATTCATTGTTTAAAAAGAAAACAAATCAAGCAAACAAACCGGTCCCAGTTTCTGCAAAGTGACACACACCACAGGAATGAGTCTTTGGAGAGTATGTAAAGGGTTTTAGATAAACTTTCCCCTCATGATTCAAAAAACCATCATCAAAAATTCTTATCAACAACAGCTAATTATGTTTCCATATGGGACAAGTGTTACTAAAGGCCTAAGGATATGCTTAACATTCAAAGACACTGAGCCAGAAACTTTGAAAATAATCATCATTCCCAATTATTTTTGCGTACCGTAAAATGACAAATAATGATGACATTTAAATAAAATACTTAGCCCTTATCCCAAAATATGATTTATATTAATAAGAAAAATTATTAACAATGGGGATAGTACATAAGTTTGCTAATCATTAAAACTCCAAGTATCATTACTCATATAAAATGGGCATAAGCCTTTTCCTGAATAAAACAGACAAAATGAGTAAAATGTAAGAAGTGATAAACAATAAATCTTGTAAAGTTTTCAGAGAGTAAAAAGCTCAAATGATTCCTGCCAGAAAGCTATTGACTCTGTGAAATATAAAGGACTTGACCAACAAAGCCTGACTTCAGCTTTTGAGCACTTCTGTGTCATGCTGCCAATTTTTAAGTGATCTATATAAGAAGCAGGGCTTGCTTTGGTTTGGTTTACAATATTTTTATCCAAGAAATTCTGCAGTTGTTGCTGTCACTAGCGGCCACTCTACAAGGCATGCCCGAACTGGCAACATGTTGCCCCAATGCTTTCCTATCATTTGGTGATGGAGGCTGAGCCCCGTTATGGAGACATGCTGTTATTTAAATACAGCTGCAGCGGAGGGCAATGAGTTTGCTTAGCTATAGAGCAATTCAGACATGACTTTATATCACTTCTTTTTCTTGTTGTTTGCCAACAGGATAACTAAAAGATGGCTAGATTTGCTATATATCAAGCCAAAGATGGGCACACAGGAAGGACAAAGCTGACACAACTCTATATTGCCTCCCTGATGGTAACAACGTTTCCTGGGTAAATTGAAATAACTCAGTCAGTTAAGACGTATCATACTGATGCCAAAACAAGCAGTTTCTTGCAGTAGGAACTGTAAGAAACAATAGAACGGTTTATGACAGAATGCATTATTCTAAGACCCTACACTAAGAAAAAGTTAATACAATGATAACATCTAAATAGCATTGAGAATAAGAAATGGTGGCAATGAACTATGGATTGGAGAACACCAAATACAAACAGGAGCTCTCAGAGCACCTCCAAATGATGCCAAACTACATATGCCAGAATTAACTTAGGGTTACTACTTCTGACGGGTGATACCTGAGAAATAGTCTAAAATCTCAGGCTACATAAAAAATGATGGAATGCTCTTTAAAATAATGTGCATCGTACCCCCCACAAGCAACAAAAACATACACATGGAATTTATAACAACTTGATAAAAGCCACCTTGAGGAAAATATAGCAATGGCCCCCAAAATGGAAGGGGGTGAAATAAGAGCAAATTAATGATCTATATTAATCCCCTTACTTTAGTGATAAAGAAACGGAAGCAAGGAGAATGGCAAGCCATTCCCTAAGTCAGATAGACGCCAGTATGAAAAACATGCGAAGCTGATGAAAAGCATCTGCAGGAAAATACAAGCTCATCCTCACTGATGAAGCACGCGTGCTAATAAAGTTAGCCACATGGCCACCACACATAACAGAGCACTGTGTTTAACCAGAAGGCATGAGGGACGGAGAAGGGGGTAGGAGGGGAATATCCATGCTCTCCTCCTCTCCTTGAGAGACGGCAAGCTCCTTGAGGGCAGCTTGCTTTACACAAAAAAATTCATTCTATTTTTTATTTCTAAACCATCTTCATAAAATCAACAAGACTCAACTCCAAATATGAGTGCCTTGTACCATTTTTGTTTTAGTAGGAAACTCTAAACACCTATGCAAGCTTTAAAAAATAAACAATGCATTTGAATCCAAGTGTAAAAACTATGAATTTTCTTTTCCACCCCTATAAAAACAAAACAAAGCAAAACCCTGCAGAGAACTCTGATAAACACGCTGATTTACAGGGTAGGCCTGACAAGTAACTTTAGCTGTTCTGTTTTGAAACTGATCTTAATGAGAACTTCAAGAATCCTGAAATAGTGTTTGTTTTCCCAGGCTTCAAAGGGACAAATGAAGACACAGCACTTGGGAGTTGCTGGATAAATGCCGACTCTTTTCCACCTCTGGAGTGCTGGGCTGAAATGGTATATGGCTTCTGTTCAATTTCCAGTGGGCACGGGTCCATGTCCAAGACTACCACACATGTGGGAACAATTCCCAAGCAATCGGTGCTGTGTGGTCAGAAACCGGACAAGACTGGCATTGAGGAAGCCAGAGACCAGGAGGCAGGTGCAATACAGACAGACACAGATACACACACATATCCTAAGATCTACATATGTGCAAGTCTCACCTGACTTTAGGTACTCTATTATTAATTTCTGAGAACACTAGGAAAAAATCACCTACTTGGGCTGTTAAAAAAAAATCAATGGATATTACATTAGAGCATCAATGATTTTCCCACTCTATTATTAAACACTGTGTTATTGCCAGAACCAACCCAGACATCTATTAAAGAAGGCAAATGTGAGAGTTCTCTTTCTGCTCAAAGGATTAGACTCACCCTTCCCCCACTTAAAAAAATAATAAAGTAATATATATTCAAAGTATAAAAATAAGTTAAAATAGTTTTAAGCACGACCCTTTCTGCCTCTTGAGACACATGGAAGACACGATGTAAACACTGTCGTGTTCACTGTCGGAAAGTACAGTGTCAACCAGCAGTTCCATGGACGTCTCAATCAGCTGCTGGCCTTCACCACTCATTCCCCTTTTCCAAAAAGCACGTGGGAATATGCTGACAAGGGTTAGCAACGTACAGAATAGTAAATGCTTTTCCTTTAATACACTGGTGGCTCAAGTCTGTGTCTTACTGTGCCACATGTGCAGCTGGGCTGGGAAAGGAAGCTATTAAATATATTAAAAATCTAGAAATATTAGCAATAAAGATCCCTCATCAAATCCACAGTTCCCATTTAGTCACCCCCACAAACAGTAAGGGCTTAAGAACACATGAAATCCCTTCGTATGCAGTAACATCTCAAACCCTGGTGATAGCAGTTCAGAGCCTCTCCCCTCCAAAAGCTGTCCTTGGTTTCACAGACAGACTACAGTATTATTGTTCATGGTTTAGTTTATTGGAACTGCGAAGCTGCCAAAAACGGAAATAAAACAAGAAAGTTTTAAAAGGGTATTTTATTCTCAGGATCTATCGATCCACACTTGGGCCTATTTAACTTGGGAATTTACATTTGAAAGGTCTGCAGTATGTTATCATTAATATTAAAAGTACTGTTTAAAGCACGGTAAGAAATTGGAAACTGTAGATACTTAAAAGCTCACAGTCAAAACACTTTAGAGGATATATACTAAATCACCCCAAACTGACAATCTGGGACAAATTATTTGGTTATTATTCATTTCCATTTTAAATCTGATGAAGAATCCTTCAAAAAAAGTGAACGTGACTTAAGTAAGTATCAAGAAGTTTAAAATCATTAAATATAATTAAACTTTTCTCTTTTTTCCTCTTATTAATTTTTTTCTTCTTACATTTCTAGCATTTTATCTTGCATACATTAAATCTTAGGAAAAGACTTTATTTAAAACAAAAACAATTCCTACTAAGTTAAGTTTGCTGGTAGGTTTTATAAGAAAAAAAAGAGAAAAGATCATTATTTTTAAAATATAAAAAATTAATGTGAACTTTAAAATTATCACTATAAAAAAAAAAGCACTCTAAAGGATAGGTAGATAAACCTGCATCAGGAATGTCTGAAGGGGAAAAAAAAAAACTATCTGGGAAAAGTGAAGTCCTGGGTAAGGTCCACCCAACCTCCTCTCATAAACTCCAGCCATCTCAGAACGCCTTCTGCACACTGTGAGCTGTTCGTAAGGTAAAGCATGTGAGCATGTAAGCTAAGGGATGGGCAGAAGACCTACCTTTCTAACATGCTACTTGTTTCAACTTGCGTTCTTAAACTAAGTATATCTAAGTTAGGCTTGGAAGTTCTATTTCAAAAGCCATGTTGTCACTGAAGAAGTCATTAAATCACTGCATCACAAGACTTTAATCACTGTCTCCAACCTTACAGCAGTTAATTCGATCTGAACAATAGCTCCACTATACTGCACATTCAAAGGGAAAATGTCAGTGGGTTCAAGACTGGAGATGTCTGTGCAGACTTCCAAAACTTTTTTTTTTCTTTTAACAACTTTCTCCTCTATCAAGAAGTACTGACCCCGAAAACTGATGGCGCAAAAATAAAGGCCAATTATTTACAAGGCTGCAATACAGAGTTCTAAAATTAGCAATTTATCTTTTGACAGCCTTTATTAGTAATTTATCTTTTAGCAATGCTCAACAAACACAGATCATTACATTCATAGATTTAATTTTCTGGTTTCCCAGTTCATGCTCTAGGCCTCTTATAAAAAGCATTTTATAAAATCCAGTGCAAAATATTCCATTGTTTAAGAGCTGTTTACCTCATACAACGAGAAAAAAAAAAAAATGTATCACTAGCCACTCCGCTTTAAAAAAAAAAATAATTTCAGAACAAAGGCTATTTTTACTTCAAAGTTATACAAATCGAAGTGCTCAAAACTGGATCCTATTTCAATTCCAAAGACCAATGCCTCAAATATACTATGTTCAAGAACAGTAAATCCATATGACATATTTAAGCGCCCAAAATTCAAAATAAATTATACAACTTACTCTGTTTTCCTTCTTTGTTTGTCCTCAAAGATGTCATTGAGATTGATTGCCACCTGCCCTAAAAACTTATCCAGCCCCACCAGGGACCTGTGCATCACTATGAGGAAAAGGATGTATTTCTCCGGGTTGCCCTGCATGAGCAAGCCAGGCAGCTCAAAGGAGGCCTCCTCCTTCCAGACCGGCTCCAGGGTTTTCTCCGCTACAGATGTGGAGTACTTTTCTTTACCCAACTGAATTATGGTGTACGTGTCATTGGTGCCACTTTTGCCTTTTGGCTTCAGATCTTTAGCTTGAAGCACTGTGACCTGGACGTGGGTTGGAAACCACTTTTGGGCTTGCTGGGATAGCATCATTCTGGGGGATTTGTTTTGTTTTGTTTTTCGGTTTTGTTTTTTCTCTGCGCGAGTTCAGAAGCGCAGGCAGCGCCCCTCCCGCGGGGAGAGCCGGCCACCCGACCGCTGCATCCTTACGGGCACCTCAGCGAGCTGGGGCGTCAGGGCTGCCACCGGCGCCCCAAGGGCTGATGTCAAAATGAGCGGCGGGGCCGGCCGGGGCCGCCGCCGCCGCGGGCGTCCCTTTCTTCCGTAGAAGCACAGGGGCCCACATCACCTGGGCGCGCTGTCCAGGCCTCGGCGCGCAGCCCGGCGCCTCGCGTGGCCCCCGACCCGGGGCCCGCGCCCCCGCGGCCCGGCCTCGCCCCGCGCGGCCCGGCTCCTCCTCCGACCCGGC